CCCCGCCTTCTTAATTTTTTACATATTTTCAAATTTTTCTGTTAAAATTTTTCTATTTTCACTAAAAGTAACCACTTTGCGTATTTTTAAAAAAAAATTTTTGTAAATTTGCTTATTATAATAGTACTGGTTTCATTGCTGCATCTGAAAAATCGGAACATTGCATTTCTTCGAGCGTCTTTGCCGGCAGTGCTTTTTCGTCTCGTTTAGCAAATCTGTAAGAGTAACCTTCGGTGATTTCTCGATCTCACGACGCATTATTTGTATTTTTTACACTTTTAATGGTTTTTTTTTTTCTAATTTTAAAAGTTTTCGTTACACTTTGCTGGCAACTTACCGCACTTGTGGCTTCTTCCTCGCTAAGGAATCCGAATCATTCACTTCGTTTTCTTCATCCTGCAATATTTTAGCTCGATTTTACACTCAGCAGTTTCAGAACAAGTGCATTTATAGTGTAGCAAACGTATCACATTTTCAGGATCGCCTGTTTGACCCTCTAATTCTCATCTTTTGGCGGTCTCTGTTCTTCCGGAATAGCCATCAATTTTTGAGGGACTAATCACAATATGACTATATAAGTTTTAAAATTATAGGCGGCGATGGGTCTTCCCCTCTCCCTTTCCCCTTCTCCCTGCAGCGCAGGCACCAGTGCTGCAAAAGCCCGGGCCTAAAGCTAGAACTAAAGTAAACTAAAGCCTGAAGTAACCCTAAATTAAAGTAACTCTAAGTAGCAGTGTTACAACTCTATTCCTTGTTTTTGCATATTTCCAGGGCGGGAGGGTACTCTCCTCCTCGCCCCTTCCCCTCCCCCACAGGAGTTCGTCTTGAATCTGCATGTATTCAAAGTTCATTGAATTTCGGCGTACAGATATTTGAAAGTACTGGAAATGGTTTCGGTGATGCATTCTGAGCCAAAATCTTTCTCCTTATTTCACTGGATGTAAGAGGTGGAAGACTCTCTGAAGTAGCCCTGGCGATAGTACGTACCAGTAGCACTCAGCGGTTAGAGGCTCTCAGTGAGGTTGCTTAATTGCTATTTCGTTTTGAGCTGTTCACAAATGCTAGTACCAAAAGAAGGAATGAATCATTGGAATGTTGGTTTTGGGCTGGTGGGATCAGATTCTCAATATTTAGAGAGCATAACGCTACTTTCCTCTACGCCGCGGCTACTAGTCAACAATCCTCATATAATTTAGATAAGCGCAAAAAAAATCGGTAAATGCATTTTCCTGTACTCGGGCAGAGCTCTGAATTTTTATCAGATTAGCCTAATTTTGCAAAATGTTCGATTTGTAGGAGATGCATTGGTAATATTTTAAACTTTTCTGTACGATCACATCGGTGAGTCAAAAAAAAAATTTTTTTTCGGGG